GAGAGAGAGTATGGCAGTGAGGATGTCTTTCTGCAAGCTACGTCATGACTCCTACTATATTCGGGGCTTTGATCAAAGTCACGTTTCAGATAAAAATCGCTCCTGTAGTAGGAGTTCATCACATAACTTGCAGAGAAAGCTCGCTTTTCGTAGCGGCCATACGTCAGGGTCATCGCCGCTGCTTTCATCTCCTCTTCTTCTTTATCTACTTTTTTTTTTTTTTTTCTAATCGTCGCATCCATTTTATGTCAAATGCTAACATCATCATTTATTCATTTATTTATTTATTTATTTTATTTTTATTTTTATTTTTATTTCAAATGAAGAAGATGTATTTTCTCTATGTTTACTCCCAATGTTGTTTACTCCCTATGTATTCTCTCTATGTTGTTTCTCTTTTCATTTCATTCTCTCCCTCTTTACTCTGGTTTCTCTGTCCATTTTGAAAGGCAATTTGAATGTAATGTACGACAAGAGCTCTATGACATGAGAAATAAACTTGCCCTTAGTTTTACCTCTATCCATAACGAAATGTAGTGACTACAAATCAATAAAAAATATGTAAGTTAATGGGATAATGCTGTGGGAGTATACTCCGTAGTGAAGCTATTCATGAGGTAGGAGAGATGCATTAACAGTAAACGAGCATTAAGTGTAGGTTGTTCCTGTGAAATGAAGCCTACTTTCATTTATTCAGCAAGTGTACCATTTTTCTTGGACTCTTCACAAGGTTCTAAATAAGGGGAAGCTTTATGTCTTTGTGATACAGGAATCACAAGTTTTCTATAGATGGGTTCACTGTTTCAAAATCCGGATCAGTCCTAAGCTGCAGCGATCTGGATCAGCCAAATTGGCTGATCCACCGAATCAGTAAATAAAAAAACCATTAAGGAAAACAAAAAGGAGCTCATAGAGCATTTTCCATATTTATAAAATGTTTGTTTGATAGTACCAAGTAAACCTCTTATAAAGGGGAATAATGTATCTTAGATAGAATAGGGCCAATCAATTGGCTGAGAGGTTCATATGGAATGCGATTTGGAAAGAAAATTTTAGAAACCGTGGGTGGGTCACTTGGTATTGGGTGAGGTTCAGGTGGGTTAGGGGATGCACCACCCTCAAAATCTAAATTATAAGAAATTATAGATGGTTGTCATCCAGATCACTATTAACGTGAATCTAGGAAAAATATATATATATATATCATAAATATACCTTAATTTTTATCTATTTAAAAAAAAAAACCTCAACTTTCATAAATCTTTTTTTTTCAATTTTTGACCAAAATAACATTCATGGCTCACGGCAATTGTATTACCACCATTACATAAAAACTAACTTTATTATTACAACACTCAAAATGCCATAATACTATCGCACTATTTTCTCATTTACAGTTGTGTTTGCATTTATCTCTTTGATCCTAACTCTTTTTAATATCAAAGAAAAGATAAATATTAAAAAGAATTAGAGAGAGAAAGAAGAAATAAATACAAACACAATCATAAATGAGAAAATGACCATTTTTATTTATCTCTTTTTTCTCTCTCATTATTTTTATATTATCTCTTCTTTCTCTTTCTAATTTTTTTTAATATTTATTTTTTTTCTCTCTCTCTAAATCGTCTGAGAAAAAAATATTTAAAGACAAAGAAGATATAAGTATTAAAAAGAATTAGAGAGAAAAAAAAAAGATAAATATAAAAAGAATTAGAGAGAAAAATAATAGATAAATAAAAACAGAATCGTAAATGAGGGTTTATAGGGTGCGATACTATTACGGGATTTTGTTTTGAGTGCTGTATAACATGGATTAGTTTTTTAGGTACGTAAAGTACGGTAATGGTGTTTCACGATAATACGTACCGTAATGGTGCTTCACGATAATATGACTACCGTTCGAGGTTTATAAAAGTTAAAGTATATTTGTGATAATTTCCCAAAAAAAATTATGTCGCACAAAATCTATTCAGTACATTTTTCTTTGCTAAAGCTTGGACTATGGAAGCATATGTTGTAGGAGCGAGAGAAAGAGAGTTACTTATTTATGTACTCAAGGTCACGTAGTGAACCACTGTTTTTCTTAATATACCTATATTTTATTATAATTAAAAAAAAAAAAAACTCAATTTTTCAAAACCTCACTTACACCCTTTCTCACAATTTTCAGCTTTTTTTGGATCAAAATAACTTTTACAGTAGTCTTTTTACTGTAAAAAATATGACGGTAATTTAAATACCGTAATAAGTTGAAGGAATATTGGGGTAATTAAAATACCATAATACTTTAAAGTAGTATTACGGTAATTTAATTACCGTAATAACATTACAGAAATTTAAATATCGTAATAAGTTATTACGATAATTTAAATACCGTAATAAATTGAAGGAGTATTTCGGTAATTAAAATCTGTGATACTTTAAAGTAGTATTATGGTAATTTAATTACGGTAATATTGTTGAGCTTCGAGACAAAAGATTTTCTACTCTATCAAGAGTTTACTATCTATTTACTCTTTCGACAAAAATTTATGCTAGATATATTTTTCAAATCTCAAAATTTTAGAATATAATATCTGCTTAATTTTTATGTGGTGCTCAAAATTTTAGAACAAAAACACTCATAAATAAGTGTTTTTGAGTAAGAGAGTAGATCCACGTCGTGCTCCTGTACGAACATTGAGTTTTTGAAAAATATAATTCCGAAGAAGCAGCAGTCGTGATGCTTGCCATCAGTGGCACCTCACGAGAGCCTTTGCACGGTACAAAAGCATTTCCTTGGCCCGAAAATATGTTTTTTCCCGCACCCATTGCTGGAACTTGAACTGAGGATGATCAAATTGTTGAAGGCTTAAGTAATAGTGGGGCTGGTTCTCTGGACTCTAGAGTCTCAGAGGTATAGGTACATGATGAAAGAGAGGGGAGAGGTCTCACTGCTACTACCTGCTGCAAAAGCCGTTCTATATCAGATGGGTTTCTTTGGCAATGGATGGATGCCTATATTTCCTTTTTACTTTCTCTCTCTAGAATTTCAAAGAAGATGACGACTCAAGAACATCAAATTTTGGTTGGTTGCTTATAGCTGGTCTGTAGATGGGGGTGAGAGATTAAGCCGATGGGGTGTGTGTTCTCTCTCTAAATTCAGCAGAGGAAGAAATCCAGCAAGCTAAGAACCAGAGGGAGAGAAAGAAACTTCATACCCAAGCTTAAACGTAAAGAGAGAATCCATGAAAACCATAGAAAAAACAATCAAAATGAAGAAAAGAAAACGCAATAGCACATCAAATATAGGTAAATTCTCTCTTAAACTCAGCTTTGCTCGGGAGGAGAGGGGTAATCATGATATTAATTTCGATTTGAAGCTTTCCAACCATACGGTAACAAAAATACCGCATAGACTTCCTCCACATTACGGTAATTAAATTATCGTAACAATAATTCAAACTATTACCGTATTTAAATTACCGTAATACTTTTTGAATTTTTTACGGTATTTTAATTATCGTAGGTTTAAAATGTATTAAGGTAAAAAGACTATTGTGAATGTCTTTTTGGTCCAAAAAAAGTTGAAATTTGTGAAAAATAGTGTAGGTGGGGTTTTGAAAAGTTACGGGGTTTTTTTCGATTTTACTAAAATAAAGGTATGTTAGCGATAATTTCCCCAATTATTTTGATGTCTTTTAAAAGAGGAATATGGTAGCCCATAAAACCTCACTTTAAAACTCATGAAAAACTGCAATTCAAGCATTAGAAAAGCTTTACGTCGATCATCTTGGCTTGAACATTATGGTTGTGAAAAAAATAAGATTTCCAGCTCTAAAAATACAGTAACAAATTATCTAGACCATCTATTTCGCCCAAAAAATAAGTGTTCATAGATTCACAAGATCTGAACCATTGTTTTAATTTTGAATTTTATTGTCTGCATTGAAAATTGATTTTAGAGTCATCATAGAGTTTTTCATTGCCGAAAGTACTTATTAGACCAGGATTTGAAGCGAGGCTTTATTTTGTTTTCATAGACCAGGATTTGAAGCGAGGCTTTACTTTGTTTTCATAGAGCCTAGTCCTTATAAAAACCTCATCATTTAAAAGATAATATATTTAAAATTTATTCTTTAAGACATTGAATATTTCAGATTTTACAACGGGATGTTGTAAAGTTTAAGTTCATTGGTCTTTGGTACAATGCCTTCAAAATCATCTCTAACCATCAAAGCCACCAAATGTGAAACCAGATACCTCAAGTTGTACACGAACATCTCTTTTTGGACTTTGTGATCGGGATCAGGGCTTTTTCCAACAAAAATAAAGAAAATTTTGCTAATATCTCACTGTTACTTGCAGAACTGAAAAAGCATCTCCAATATTTCATTTCTTCTCTTTTTTGTATTTTTATTTTTCTCAAAATACCCTTCCCTAATCCCGATCTAGGACTGTCCGGCCTCCATTTTGGGGGAATAAATGTATACAAAATCTCTAGGGGTCACATGGAAAAAAGAATTCAAGGATTGAATGGGCCCCTCTTTGGAATGAACTATAAAAATTAGCAAAACAGGGCTTGTTGGTATATACTCGATTTCCCAAGGTTTGGACCCATGCCCGGACCTGGGTTAGTTATACCAGCCAGGTCCCAAGTCGGGTCTTGTTCCATTGCCGGGCCTACTTTTGACACTTAAAGAGGTTGAATTAATTGGTGATGTTTGGGTTCTCAAGAAAATGTCCCCGAAGCCCTAGTTTTGTCGCCCTACTAACTTTTCTCTAGCTTTCAAATATAAATACCAAGTTGATATTAGATGGGCCGTTTCACTCCTTGAGAGTTTTGGGTCATCAAATTTGCCTAAAGAACATGAATCATGATGAACCTCCAAGCTTTATCAATGACAAGCAATGGTGCAGGGATCATGAATTCGCTTCCCAAGTTTTTTTAGCTCAAAGTAGATCGAGCAGATTGATTAAGCGTGAAATTGATCAAACCACATGAACCACAAAAACAATGATGGAGAAAACAATGATAGACAATTACAAAAGTAACAGAACAATGACAACAAGCAGAGTGTTGGTCGAACGAAGTCAAATACGACCAGCTGCTGCATCCCTTTCATTCCCGCTTAAAGAAATAAATGACAGGCCTGAACTTCATAACTACAAAATTGGTGCTTTCCCAGCGCTGACAGACCAAATATTTTACATGAACAAAGGTATATATTGTGGATCCAAAATTGCTTACTTACAACCGTAAAAGCTCGGCTTAAGATAGTAGCCACCATCGGAACCATTAAATGGATTCGTAACCCAAAATTGAACATTTGGAACTGAGATTGCATGAGGTGGTTTTTGGAGTCATCAATAATTCATTGAGCCAACGCTGAACCTTCCAATGTGAGATGACACGTGCCAAAGTTGCGGTGCTTACCATCAGCTTTGTTAGAAAGATGAAATCCTTGAAGGGGAAGCTGGTTAATGAGCAGAGTTTCTAATAGGCAAGCCACACTCCTCCCTGGGACCACAACATAAAGAAAAGGCACATCCTGCATGCCTTCTGATGAACGGTGTGTACGGACGCGACCAATAAGGTCATCTGTCTGTATAAAACCACAACTTTTAGAACCTAACCTTCACAAATCTCTACATTTGCACTTAATAGCAAGAAAAAAATTTCTTTGCTTCACACAATTTTGCCAAGCCACACAACAGAGATAGTACCATGAATATTGGTAACACACCCAGGATTCTTTATAATAGCAAAAATAATTTGGGCACGCAGAGTTTTCATCATTTGCTGGGGCGATGATGACATTAAGGTCATTAAAAATGACACATTTAATGCACTTGGGCACTCAGTAAATGTCAGCCCTTGCTTTGTAGAGAATTCAGATAACTATTTTTGTCTAGACATGAATTCCAATAGAGGATAAGGGTATATTTTATAACCAAAATATATTGAACAAGTCAAACATTTAGACTATTACCATGAGAACATGTAAATAGTGTGTGTGTATGCATACATGTTGCATGCATGGAAAACTAGATAGATAGATATATATATATATCTATATATATATATATATATATATATATATATAGAGAGAGAGAGAGAGAGAG